CCATGCATCCATCCATTCATCATCTTTACCCACTTCCTTCTTTTCCTGGTCTGGTTATTATTTAATCTTTTAGCTAAACATTTGCTTCTTTTCTCTCTTTATTAGAATTTTCTAACCTTTTGCTACTTTTAGCTTTCAGTAACATTTAGCTGCTTTTAGCATGTGATTTGCTACTTTGAACTTTTTGCTACTTTTAGTAGCTGGCTACTTTTTGGGTACTTTTATCTTTTAACAAGCATTTTGCTTCTTATAGCTAGCCTTTTGTTACTTTTAGTATGTAGCTACCATTTTTTTTTAACTTTTAGCTAGTACTTTGCTGCTTTTACCTTTTAAAATGTCTTGCTTTTTTGGCTTTTAGCTACCATTTTGCCTTTCAAGGTTTTAGCTAGTGTTCTGTGTTTTTTAGCTTAAGGCTAGTGTTTTGCTTTGTTTAGCTTTAAGCTAGTACCAGTATTCTTCTTTTTAGCAATAAGCAAATTTTCTACTTCTTAGCCTAAGGCAATGTTCTGTTTCTTTTAGCTTTAAGCTAGCTTTTTTAGCTCTAACCCAGTGTTTTGCTTCTTTAAACTTTAAGCTAGTATTCGGCTTCTTTTAGTTTTAATAACTTGGTTTCAGCTTCATTAAATTGCAGCAGTGATTCAGCATTAACGCTGCATTTTCACAGAAACGTGCAATTTCTCTCGATCTTTGAATTCTTTTAGAGTCGTATAACCCGGGCTCACCTGCGTGACCTGCTCGTCCACCTGGATACCGAGAGGTTTCATCTGGACCAGGGGGAACACCCAGGTGTCCTCCTCCCCCTCATCCTCTGACTCCTCTGAGCAGCGGCGCTGCAGCAGCTGCCTCGTGTGCGCCGTGTTCACAACTTCCATGATCCGCTTCCTCGCCACCGCAGAGAAGTCCTGCCGGTTTCCTGGTCACCACGGAGACACAGTGTGTGAGTGGGCATATGCACGCCACTGAGCTGATGTGGGAGATGAGCGAGGGGACACGTCTGTGTGTTCATAACTAATTTTTTAGCAAAATGTTCAAATTAGAACGATCAATAAAACAAATAAACAAGTGGAAGCAACACAACTGGATAAGGTGAAGCAAAAATACACGTGAATCAAATTATTTTGTCAATATTCCCCAAAAGGTGAGTACAGAGATGTGTTTGATAAATTAAGTAATGCGAACCTTTAAATTTGAGAAAAAGTAGCTTAAATGTATTGATTGCCAGTAATAACTGACTGCAGACCAGCTTCTGTCTCCAGTTTGTCTGCAGCTGTAAGGACGCGTCATGGTTTTGAATCCGTTTCGTCCAGTAAAAATGTCTTTCAGTGCATTCTCACCAGCTTGCGTGCGTACTTCCAATAACCGTGTTTGTGTATATCAGTTCCCACTACTGTACATATCTTCTTCCAGCAACACCGTGACATCACATCTCTATTCCTGGTGTCCGTTTCTGCAGCTTAATCCCGCAGACATGATGTCATTCATCCCACCAACTAACATCCTGGCAGGCCGTGCTCCAGTTACGGACACACTGAGCGTGTGTGCGTGTCTGTTTCTGACAGTTTCACATCCGGCTGCACGGCTGGCAAACCACAAGAGCTCTCTCGATCCTTCTCACTGTGTGGAGTCCGACTCTCTCAGACCAGCATCTCCTCGGCTGTCTAAGCTTTCAAGCTCCATTAGTAGAACCCATCTGCTCGTGGTGCTTCACTCCGGGCCGTAACCGAGCTTGAAGTGTCACGAAGTGTCAAAACAAGCTGGAGTATAAAGGTGCTGGCACGTGCACAGCGAGAAACGTGTTCAGTGTCTACCTTTGTATGGGTGCACCATGCCCTCCAGCATGGTGACCGAGTCGTCGGGCTGGAGCTGCAGGGAGACGTCCCCCACGGCCTCCACCAGGTCCGAGAAGAAGTCCGCCACCTCCCTGCAGTTCTCCAGAAGCACGTAGCGGTCCTGTCTGTTGGTGAAGTACGAGTCGCTCAGGTTGGCTCTGCAAAACAGAAAACAAGATGGGCGACAAAAGACCGTTAAAGACATTATATTCTATTTTATTACACAGTCATGGTAAAATAAAAAGCTCCACATTTTTTAAACTCTACAACTCTTTTTATGCACTTTTGCCCTGAATTTCTATGATGTAGTGACACAAGTTGCTGTAAGAAAATAACACAACGTCGCCTGATACTTCTGCAAACCTAACGTGTTCTCGGCCACAGATTTATTGCTCGCGTCAAAAATAATTCCGTAAAAACTTTGAAATGTCACAATATACCTTACACATGCACCAGAAAAAGCAAAAGTTATGCTGCAGTGACCCAACAAAAACATTACACAATCTTATGCTAAGCTAGGGTTACTCCCCTCCAAGTTAAGAGTGGGGAACTTGTACTTTTATGTGTAATAGTCGTTGTTATTGCTTGGGATTTATCACTCATTAGAGCTGTATTTCAGTGGTGTACATCGTTGTATTTTTGGCATATGTACCATGTAAATACAATGGAATACACACTATTGTTGAATATATATTGTAAGAGCACCAACAATGACTATACAGTTTTCTTAGCACCAGCTGTGTGCTGTGTTTGGCCTCATGATGTGCACTGATAGAAGACCAACATTTTCCACAAACATGGAACTGGAAAAAATTGATGTTCCAGTTGCCGTTTTGGGTTTGACAAGTAGAACAGAAGACCAACTTCCAGACTATCTGCCAGAGTAGAGGAACAGAGGACAAGCAAGGAAATGATTAAGGATGATGGTGGGTGAAGCTGTGGCTCGACGCCAACTGAATTCAGACATTACCACAGGCTTATGAAAGAACTGCAACAAGAAGGTGCTGCTAAACATTGTAGTTAGTATCTTACTGGTCTGCAAATGGTTAGCGGACATGCATGAGGGAGTCTCCAGTATGTCCTGGTGACTCAGTTTTCTTGCGCGAGTCACAGAGGTGACCGTGTTGTTCCAACGATAAATAATGATTCCTTAAGAACTGGTTCAAATGTGCCTGTCTTCATATCAAAACTGTACTTCAGCAGATTAAATCATAAATGTAGAGGCAGCTGACAGGTATGATGTGGGAGATGGACAAAAAAAATAACATGTGCGGCCAAGAATACAACTTTACAAGCTGTGCACATAAAAATAGGCTGTAGTTGTCAAAAACTGACTGCTCAAAATGAAAATGTGGCTCCACGGCTCACTGGTCGTAAACACTCAGAATTCAGTGAGACTGCAACAGAAAATTTGACAATTTTCTTGCAATTTTGAGTTGCCAACAACAGTAGTCTCAAACAGTTGCGGCTCGGTGAGATATGATCTTATACTGTGGATAACGCCACAGCAACGTCGCAGACAACAACAAAATGCAACACCAATGAAACCGACAGTTATACCACAGAAAAGTAGTATATGTCATGCTTACGTTGCAGTCTACTGTACCTTTCCCACGCTTTAGCCCAATGCATATGCAACTAACATAACAGACACATCATGAACGTTCATCATATTCATTCATTCAACCTTTGTTTATACAGGTTAATCCCATTGAGTCTCGGGGACTCATTTACAAGAGAGACCTGATTTCAACAAAGAGTGATGACAGCAGTGGACAACAAAGACAACAATAGACAAACAAAGGATGCGTACAAATATATATATATAAAGTAAAAATAAAATGGTAATTAAAAGGATAATTAAAAGGAAAAGTAGCAAAAAACGGCTAGATTGTAAGGTGGTGTAGAAAACTAAAAACAGGAACATGTCTGTATTGGTTTGTCCCAGGAACTTAACAGATAAAGCCACTTAGAGAGGTAAAGGTCAAGAGCTTCAGAGTCTGTGTTATTAATCCCGTGCGAATCGGCCACGTCAGTAATTTTTAATGTAAAAATTCCCCCGCAACTTACCTACTACATTTTGCTGAACTCCGAGGTCCTGTGATAAAACTAATCCAATGCGAATAGGCATCTGTGATTTGGACAGAAATGGGCAGGATCCGATACGTAATGAGGCGCTTTTTGTTTTTGTTTAAGCAAAATCATTTGGAAAAATATAGAACAAGGCTATTTTAAATGAACGCGATGCTCGCTTCGGCTTTTATGCTGCTACTTCCTTCATTGCAGGTGCGGAGACGTGCGCATGATCAGCTGACCCATCCATTATATTTACCCACTTTTTCCTTTTCAGGTAGCAGGGGTCGCTGGTGACCATGTCCAGCCATCGCTGTGCGAGAGAAAGGGGACACCCTGGACAGGTCACACGCCCATTTCATCCGGTTGGTCAGCGGACGCGCAGACGCTCACTCGCGTGGCCGGTGACAGGTTGTCCATCCGAGCTTAACATGGCTTTTTTTAACCTCTTAAACCGGCCAGCCGGACCTGCCTCCTCCTCAACAAGTAGATTAACACAATTTTATATTGTGCATTCTTTAATTTTCTTTGTGCTGATTCGTAAAACCACATCAAAGCCTGAGACCGGCCCGTTCGTGACAACGCAGCGCCTTAACGTCATATCCAGAAGATGTCTGTAAATTTTAGCTAAATCTCAGGCTTTGGTTATCCCGTGCGAATGCGCCACATAAAAAGCAGACGTTGGGGAGTAATTGATTTATTACATGTGGTCCCTAGGTAAAACTAATCCCGTGCGAATAGGGTTTAGGAAACAGGGGGAAATAAATTACAATTTTTCATATCAGGAGATAAGAAAATATCCCTGCAACATAAGAAAAACAGGTATTTACAACCTTACATAAAACATTATTTAGGACCATACGTCTCATTATTATTATTTACCGTACTTCATTTTTACAAAAGCCAAAGCTTTGAAAACATTTTTGTAAGAAATATGACAATAAGTCAGACGAAGCTAAACAAATCAACCAGAATAACTAGTTAAATGAACAGGAAGTAGTTGCTTCTTAAAACAACTGCATGTTGTGACGGTTGGAAAATAAGCTTCCTGTTACAAGAAATAAGCCAATTAACAAAACAGGATCACAGTTTAAAGGTGTGTGTTAAAGAATGTGACACTGTGTGACAAATCAAGATGCTTTTGACTCAGGACTCAACATTTATCAAGCAAATTCCAGAACATAAAACTTTTCTGGAAGCACTTTCTACATAATATTTATCATGCAAATTTCAAAACGTGAAGCTACGCTAGAAGCACCTGAAGGCTAGGAAACAACCGTTTAGTTTCATTTCCAGCCAAGCAGCATAGTTTTTTCTTTACAGTACAAATGTCTGAGCTTGTCTCCAGAGGAGTTCATGTCAAGGAACCCTGGTCCCATAATAAGCTCAAATCATGACATCTCCATCACCATGCGTGACAGTACCTTTGAGGTGTTTATACTGATTTGCTATGCATTATGGGTAAACAACTCCACTTTGGTCTCCTTTGTCCATTGTTCATTAAGTCTTCTGGTTTGTTTAGATTCAGCTTTGCTATGTTGGTAAAACAAAAACAAAAAAAGCTATTTTATCCCTCATATTGATGGTATGCATCCTTAAATTTCATGTAAGTAAGTAAAATTAGTGACCGGATGCCAAATACCTTGTGCACTTGTTTACTTACAGAACCAGCCAAAGAAACTGAAAATAGGTCAACACTGGCAACACTCATGAAAGAACAGTTTGGGGTGGAAAATAGACAATTTTGATGTATTGGTACACATTTATGCTCACATTTGTTCACTAAAGTATGTAGATAAACAGATAGGTTAGGTTAATGGTAAACTTGCATGTCTAGTTTTGCAAAAGCTGTGTATATTTGTATGCCGAGTTCTGCTTTTACAGCCTGATATTCGTTTATGACAGTGATCAGACTCGTCCTCTCACTTTTCTTTCATATTTCCCTTCTCTGGCTCCCAGTTCACTTTCAAATTCATTTTAAAATCCTTCTGTATGTTTTTAAATCTCTGAACAGCTCTGCTGCCTCCTATCTCGCTGATCTGCTGCAGCCATATCTCCCACAGATGCGAGCAGACCAGAAGCTTTTACTGGTTCCAGGAACTCGTCTTAAGCTCACAGGTGACGGGGCTTTCTCTGTTGCAGGTCCAAAACTGTGGAATGAGTTACCACTGCATGTCAAGCAGGCTCCCTCACTTACCGTTTTTAAGTCTCGTTTAAAAACTCACTTTTGTTCCCGGGCTTTTGACACTGTGCGAGTTGATTTTAACTTGTCTGTATTCTATAATGTCAATCATTTAGTTTTTATATTTACCTATTTGGGTCTATGTATTTTTTCTTGTGTGCTTTGCTTGGACTTGTTGCTGTTTTTCAGTGATTTATAAATGAAGTGGTATGGTATGTTTAGCAGCAGATTAACTGTAATATTTCCACCTAACCATCTTCGCCGATACACTACACTTGTCCAAATTCTTTTGCCATATTTGTTTACCTAAGCAAACAACAGCCACCCTAATGTAGGTCAGTTACTTGACTCAAGCATCCACATAGTTTTAGGCGGATTCAGCAGAATGCTTTGTTTGTATTGAATGCATACCTGCATTTTAAAATTGCACATTAATAAAAACTGCTGGAGTGAATTCTTGTTTGATATAGTTCAGGATAACCTTTTTTATGTTTGATCTCATACCTTGCAGTGAGTACTCTTACAGTAAAGATATGGGAAAATGAAAGGGCACCCCTCCCTCAGTTCTAGGGTTTTGAATGAGCGTACAGTATGTACCGTACTGATGTCGTACAAGTGTACTTCCTGATAGAAATATATCTTTTACATCTCCAAGTGTTTAGATAACCTGAAGGCCTAAGTAACAAGTTACACCAAGGTAGAAAAAGAAAACTCTGCCAATTAGAATTCAGTCCAAACTGCATTTTGAAATGTTGCTTTTGGAGCTCGTCCAATGATTTAAATATTTTATACGTATGTCATGTGTGCATTGCCAGTAATTTCACACACTGGAGGTTAACGTCTTCAGTCTGATATGCAAATGCAAAGTGCGAAACAGGAAACGGGACGACTTCTGTCACCTCTCTTGAGCAGCTGACAAGAACCAATGACAGAAAAGTTGTTTAGTGAGGCATAATTACAAGCGCTCAAGGCAAACGTCTCTCGCTCTCAGACAAATATTTCAGGGAAATCTCCCTTGTGTTAGTCAGAGTCCACTGAAAACAGTTCCAAACACTGGAAAGAACCGCTTTCTGCTTTAGGAAATAAAAAAAGGCAAATTGATTAGGACATGATACTAAACAGTAAATTTTACACACCCGCTGATGATGATGCTGTCGTCAGTCAGGTAAACTTTGATGTGCTGCACGCCGATGGTCTCGTTGAAGCGCTGCGGGACCAGAAGTCGCAGCAGGCCCCTCAGGTCCGGAGTGTGGTACAGAGAGACCCGCATCTGAGAAGGGAAGCGCTGCAACAGAGGAAGCAGCATGGTCCTGGAGTTAACCTGCCCTGCAACACAAACGCACGACGAGTGAGTACGGTGATCGCTGACATCTGGGCCGAACATCTGCTCACAAGTCGTACTGAAAACACCAACCTCTTGATCCGCGCGTGTAGTCCAGTAAAAAGGAAATTTTTAGATCTGAGCAGTTGTTTTTCTTTGAATGCTGGAGCGCTTCCTCCATACAGTCCACC